AGCGGCATTGATAATTCTGGAATATTCCATTATTCATTGACGAAAATGGAGGTCGAAAGAGGGAGCCGCAATTAGTGCCACCACTGCAGCAGTGCTGTTGCAGTGGGGGTAAGTCTGACGATGCTGCGCGGGTGTCTGTGTTGAAGCTCTCTTCGAACACGATGATGCCCGTGGCTCCAGGAGCCAAGAGGAAGAAATGTGAAGAGATGCCGGAGCCACCGGAAATGCTGACTCAAGGGGACCTCCAAAAGTTCCAACAGATATTGCTCGAAGAGAGCGACGTCACCTGGCTGCTGGACATTCCTGGTAAATGCATAAAAGCGACCAGCTGGTCAATTGTTGATGGACATTGGACTTTCCGTGCATTTTTGCGACGAATTCTCAGTCCCAGGATCTTATCCATGTAAGCAAAGGATTCCGGCCTTCAAAGCGGTGGATTGAAATGATTCTTGAACTAATATTCATGCTGTTCTTTTGTCCATCTTGCGCGTCAGTTCCCGCCAAGCCGTTGCGAGAGCCAAGCATTCGATTGCCTTAAGGCTATCACGCCCACAGGTAAAACTCAATTTCCCATTTTTGGTGGACAACTCACACATGTGTTAAGGTCCGATATTCCGCAGATTTCCATAACAGACATTGCAGCTTTTGTAGAAACGCTCCGACAGGGATACAAAGCTTGAGCTGAAAACATTTTCGCTCCTTTAGCATTATTGATCAAGGGAAAATAATAGCGCGAATTAATTAATAAAATGGTGTTCAGGAACGTGCGCAGCCACAGGCACACCAGAGGGAGAAGCTGTTGAGAAATTGAGCAAGCGGTACCAGGATCTTTTGGAATCTAGAATAGGAGGGGACAGCTACAGCGACGGAACTATGCAGACGCTCAACGCGCTGCTGAAAACGAAAGAAGTTCAGTGCGATCCCTATTCCGTGTCTGCCTCCGCTTGCCAGGTACTGACACACGATTGCAGGATTAGGAAATGTGCAGAATTCAAAACCGAAGTTTTCATAGAATGTGTCAGTGGCGCAGCGTCTTGTCCTCACCTGTTTACAGGCATCGGATAAACGTCCCTGTGGCTGGCTCCTTCATGAATGCACATGCGTGTACTATGTATTGCACTCATTAAACTCAAATACGTCTATTTAGATTTGAAAGGCTGCAACCAGATATGCACTGTATTATAATTTCTCGGCAGTCGCCACCACGCCACACAACACGAAGCACTCAATTCAAGGATGCAGACGCTGAGCTCCCTTTTGGCGTTGCTCCGAGACCAGTGGGGAGGATTTGCGGGTGGTAGGATGAAATTCGACACTGCAGAATGCAACTGAAACTACTGAATCCATAGGAAAGCTAAATCTCAGCGAGGCATAGAAACCAACATGTATGCCATCCCTTGGGCAGAGATTATACAGGAAAGTATTCAATATGATGCAAATAAACAAGGAATGGGCTTGCGCCACATCTCGAAATTATGTGGAATTTTCAATGGTGGACACTGTTGCGGAGGTCGAGCCGTGCGAGTTTGAAAATCCGCAGTTCGAAGCATTGCAAGGAAGACGCTGCTTGATGCCATACGGTTAAAAGTTGCATCTTGGCACGATAAGGATTACTGATGCGATTTTTAATTCTATGTACTCCATGTATGACATGTACTGCAGCTGTTGGTTTCACATTGGTAGTTGCGGATATGTCTGCAATGTACATTCAGTCGACTGGCCACCTGTCAACTTGCAACTAATGCAAGCATGACTTGTGACAGACGCTTGTCATTCGCTTCTCAAGGCCTCTCGCAGCGACATTGAAGATGCCTACACCGTGGCGCCCGCGTCGGAAAGGGAAACCGGGGAGCAAGAAATCAACGCAGCCAAGCTGCAACAGGACGCAGCCTGCCAGAAATTAGGTAGGTGCGGGATGTAGGGGCAAAATTCTGAATGAACGGCGGCGAGACTGCTGTTATTTCCAATCATGAAAACAACACAGTCTGACACTGAGCGCGACATTTAAATGAATGAAGACGAAGCAAATGTTGCCGGGGCCATGAAGCTATTAAATTTTGGATTCAACAGGTATTAAAAGCCAACAGATAATATGTAGTGAATCATGTACAAATTGCTGTAATATTTTCATCAACGACATCTTAGAGAAGCACAATTTACGCTGGCGATGATGTCTGTCGTCCTATGAAGATGGCTACACCATCAATGCAGCAGCCGGAACATCAACGGTGCGAAACAAGAAGGCAATAGTTGCGATTTACTGTTGACAATGCGAAGCATCATTGATGCAAACAATAAGAGATGTTTGAGGTGTGCATTAATAATAAATTAGACGCATGTTGTGCGATTCGACTACAAAAACGACCAATTCAATCACAAATTCTTCTTCCTGTATCAATATGCAAGTTCTGGATTTCGTTGACGTGCACTTCTTAAAATCAACTCCGTGTCATTGGTGCAGTGGCAGCGAGACAGGCATCGAATGAATACACCGGCATGGGGGTGAGTTTTGTACAAAGAATTTACATGCCTGCCGATAAAACGGGTGGGTATTTAGCGATTTTCTAGTCAGTATTGGAGAGATTGGAACTTATTATTAACGCCTGAACTGTCAGAAGGGAGTCTCCGTACAAATATTAATGCCTTTGATGGGATTTCATTTCACCGATGAAGAGGGGCATGTTTATCACTACATGTGGTGAGGGCTGCTACTCAACACAGGTGTATGGATGATTGCAGTACCCAGGAATGAAAACCTCTTGTGGTGTGCCTTTGCAGCCGTTAAAAGACTCGGGCGCTCCGGACAGAGCCAGCCAAATGAGCAACATGAGCATGTATATGCCAAATCGTGGGAGCGCGGTCAGCAGCGTCAGCTTCGGAAGCACTATGCCCTTCCAGAGAGAATCATCAGGTGCTGAACCTCCCAGAATCGCCGCCAGCCATGTGGGATCGCAACGACGTGTACGCGAGGACGCAATGTGACTGTTTTCAAAAATCAAATCAACTCATCATGAAATACACTATCGGGGATTTATAATCACATTAAGATATAGAATCTGGCGGCCCCTCGTTGGCAATCCGATTTCGACATTTGGATGCCACTGGTGGCTATGCTTCCAGCCTTGTTGGCCCATTTCAACATCTACTGCATTGCCTAAAGCTCAATATTGGACACACATTAATGGACCGGTCACCCGACGCGTAACCAGTGGTGCCGCCCCCGCAGCTTCCGACCTGCCCATGAGCAACCTGCAGGAGGTCTCCGTGGAGGCGCCCAACGCGCCGGACCCCCTGACCACGCTGGACGGGCTCCTGGACGTGCTGCACCTCGTGGACGCGGCCGTCATGCAGAACGTTTACCTGGACAAGCTCATCTCCTATCGAGACATCAAGGTCCCCGAGCTGCAGGCCGGGAGACCGGGAGAGGCGGAAGTGACCGTGGAGCCCCGGTTGGCGAGGATGGAGAGCGGGTCCAGCGTGGAGACGTCAGGGAGACCGGATGACGCGTCGTCGGTGGCAACGGTGGGAAGCCGCAACTGCGCATAGGCACCGCTCGGAAAGGTGCCCAATCTGGGCAAAGCCAAAATCGTGGATGATGGGCCGAAGAGCTTGATTCGCCGCATTGCGGTAGATGGGCTCGAGTATCATTTGCTGTAATGAGCATCTGATCAGCGCCCGTCGCGGCGGTTCATTCTTAAACAATGCAACTGTAGCGTTCGCTTGCACAACATCAAGCCTTGGGGGCAGGAATTGTGTTGCGCTGCGGCAATCGCGACGGTGGCCGGATTGCCAAATCCCAGGATGCTACCCGGTGGGTTGTGGCGAGCGCCTGGGCGCCGCAACTCTTCAGAACCTTCTGCTGCTTCAGCTGCACCGAGCTGCATCCTCGCCGAGATGTTCTTCTGAACAAGGGTATAACTGCGTCGCTTCCAACTTTGATTTATTTCCAGTTGTCTTGAGGCAAGACCTTCTGCCTGTTTCTTTTCCATGCCACGCCATCCTTAAGGATGAGCGAAGCTTCGCCGGTCGAAGGTCCTGTATCACACTTTACCCGTCGCTGAGCGCCTTCTAGCCATACTTCCAGCAGCGTCGATAATGCCCCTCATGCCTCCCGAGGATGGACATCTAACTTAAGCCTCGCTGAATCGCGCCAAATGACGGGATTCTGAATGGCTTCCCACAGGAATTGTCAGAGCGTCCTGGAGCGGACAGCCCCCGACTGAATCTACTGTGGGAGTGGCGTTGCGACAGCACCCGTGATCAAAATGTCTCCTGCATCGCCTGGAACAAGGTTCGGCAAGATCTGCTGGCCGCAGGCTATGGACAGTTCCATTTCGACCCCTGCGAGGCGCGAGGGGCCGTGGCGTTCTGGTCCCTACAAAATCCGGGGCACCCACTATGGACTTTCAACACGACCAAAGGTGACAAAGCATGGTAACGTACGTGCATCTAACCGCTTTATCCAGCCACACCTAAAATGACCCACCTGCCTCAAGGTCGATTGCCGGGAAGATCCAAATACTGTAGGGTCCCTGGAGAAAATGGCTTGGGATAATATGAACATGCACTGATGAATATGCGCTGATGGATCCTAGCCCCCATCTGCTGGATTTGTGGTCACTGAGCAAAAGGGCGTGGGAGATAGTTTTCTGTGCTGGAGTCCTCAAACAGGTCACCAGAATGCAGCTCATTTACACCACAGATGAATGTTCAGAAGACTGCCATACAGAATTTCTGTAACAGAAATGCACAATTTTCAGACTGGCTGCAGACGTCCGCTTGTGTTGTGGTCCTGCTTACGGCCGCAAGTGAGTGCGCCTAATGGGCCCTCCCCGGGCTGATTGCTGTTGAAAAATCGAGAGAATCACGGTGGTTTCCCATACCGGTGACGGTTATGGACAGAAGATTCTGTGAGGGACATGCGCATATGAACATGTTTGTGCACAGGCGTGACTGCGTTGGATTTCTCCACGCGCAATCCAAACATCCTTGCCGTAGGCATGTACGACGGGACGGTGGCGATGTATGACATACAGGCCAAGAATGAGACGCCATCCATGGAATCCGCGGCCAACGCCGGCAAACACTCTGATCCCGTGTGGCAAGTCAAGTGGCTGGACAGGGGAGCCGACAGGGACGAGGTTCTCATCTCCATTTCGTCAGGTGCGAGCAGCGGCGCGATGCATGAGGATGGCTCCCATTCCGACAACCCCAACAATATAGCCCTGCGTCGCGTCTGTGTGAGCAACTGTGGCGCCTGTTGACACCGAATATGGAATTCTGCACAAATAGGCACATTTTAGCAGATGCTCAAAATGGCGCGAGTTCTTCAGTAAGTCTGAGCAACTGTGGTACTTGAATTTCGGCAGCTCCAGCGTGGTCCAGGCTTCTGTCGATAAGGGCCGGAGTCTCAAGAGTTTTGTTGTTGGAAACTGCCCCAGCGATGCAAGACCACAAGCATCCATTTTGGTGACGGTCTGGCCGAAGAGGCATGCGAGCAGAACCGGGGAAGAGAATCGTGGGGAGAAATTTGAAACAAAATGTCCTGAAAGCACTCCCACATCCTTGACTGTGGCCTTGACTTATTACTATCACTTGAAATGCACGCCGCAGATGGCCGAGTCACGCAGTGGTCCATAGCCAAAGGGCTGGAGTACGCTGACGTGATGAAGCTGAAGCGGGTGGCTCGCCGAGCACCTTCCGGCCCCAGATCCAAGAATGCTGCCGCCAGGAGTGCCAATCAGGTCCCCTTCATCAGCCGGCTAACAAGCGGAATGTCTTTCGACTTCAGCCCTGCGGACACGAGAATATACATTGCAGGTGGAGGAACTTGTTGAGCTTGACCATGAGTATAGGGCAGTGTTGGCGGAGGTGACATGAGCAAACGCTGAAGTGATGCGAGGCTGCCCACAGCCCGATGTTGGTACAAGGGGAGCAGTTTTCCACTTAAAAATCCCCATTTGTGGAGGATGCAATGAATTGGGTATACCCAGAATGGTGTCCATTCTGGGTCCTGGCGCCCAGGGCAGTACCAGAAAAGGCTCAGCAACCGTCAGGTCCAGTTTCTGGATCCCCGCTTGTCTAGTGTTGCAGTGGGTACCAAGGACTGCTTCATTACCATGCAATCAATTCAGCTCAAGCACTTGCGTTAGGAGATTTGGCGTCAGCCAAACTAACTCCTAGTGCGGCGTATGCCTCACCACCCTGTCCCTTTCCGGATCTCATTCTTGTGCGACTGTTCTTGCGTCACGGACGCCCACAGATCAAAATAAGGGGGATCCACATAGTCACCAGTTCTCCAGGAAGCCACGCCCATGCGATGAACCTCATCTCATGACCTGCGGGTGAAGGGAATAGCCCGCGGATTTCGTCAACAGATTCGTGTGGCGCCCCTTGTCAGGCACCGAGGACGGCTGGATTCACAAGTGCTCGACGTCGTACTCAGAGCAGTACCTTGAGAGCTACCAGGGTCACATGGGCCCAGTGTACAGGGCGGAGTGGTCGCCATTCCGTCAGGGCCTGTTCATCAGCTGCAGCGCCGACTGGACCACCAAGCTGTGGACAGAAGGGAGGGAGAGCGCGCTGCTTACCTTCACCACGTCCAACGACGAAGTCAACGACGTCCGCTGGTGCCCCACGAATTCTACTGTCTTCGGTTGCGCCACGTCAGGGGGAAGAATCGAGGTGCGAAATCCGGAACTGGTCGCGAACGTGGTTTGGAATCGCCGCCCATAGAAACGTTATGTGCCGCCTGCAGGGAAACTGCGCACAATGGGAAGTCCCAGCACTGCAGCACCACACGGCGCAGCGCCTGCTTCCACGAGACTCCAAGAATGGTGCAGTAAACGATCTACGAGCAGTGCAGAGCACTGCCGTACCTTGCCAACGGCAAGAATGGCCGTCCACACAAAATATGTGTCGATGCACTGTTGTTTCAAATCGCGTATCAGTGGTGTTTTTCATGCTGGGCCACATAATTGCACTGCAAGCAACGTGAAGAGTGGACCAAATAGCACAACAGCAACTGTATCTTTGGTTCTTTTTTTCCACAGTGCTTTACACTGCAGAGCTTGCAGCTCATTGCAGTGCACTAATGTAGCTCTGCCGTCTCAGCTCTTATCTGCCTCGCTGCTGACTGCGTCAGTGCAACAATCCCGCAGCCCTCCGTTCCTAGATCGGCCAAAACGCGCGACGAAGTGCTCCCACTCTTCCACCCGTCAGACGGCGACGAGCACAACATGGTGCGCAAAAAATGGCCATTTTTGCAGCAAAGCACTGTGAACAAGGCAGCTCTGTACGAATGCGCTCGGATGCAGACGGCGCCGCGGATCACCAACGATTCTGCCGCTGCATGCCGCAGATCTGGGACCTGTCCACTTCGTCCATGAACCCCGTCGCGCGGCACGTCATGCCGGGTGTGAAGGCGTCCTGCGTGCTGTTCTCGGACACGTCTCCCATCGTCCTTTGCGGCAGCAGCAAGGGGGTCATCAGCGTGTTCAGGATGGAGAATATCGAACGCCGGGAGGAGTCGGTGCAGCAGCAGACCGCCAGGCTCGACGAGGTGATGCACACCAACATTCTCAAGTCGGATCCTGGACAGACGGGAGCGTAGAGTGTGGGCGGGAGGGGGGGAATGAGCGTATGGCAGTTCTTTTGTATGTTGCTGAAAGATCGAGAGGGGGTCGATGCGTGTCCTCCCACGGGTGGGCGGGGGGGAGCAACGCGGCTGGCACCTGCATTTGTGTGCCACTGCGACCCCAGCGGACCTGGGTCCAAGTGTGGGCGGCAAGACGGAAAGGGAACGGGTTGTGGTGGTCGGGGCAAACTGAAGGGGGCCCGTTGCAGGCCTGAAGGAGGAAGATGGAATTGCCCTCCGGGAGCTTGTTTTTGTGCTTATGGGGGTGCTTTCCATGTAGAGCAGTGCACGAAGCATGTGCAAGTGTTATCCAGCTTGAATCAGTTGAATGTGTTGGCCACGAGAAGAGTGACAATCAGTGTTCTTCTACCTTGAGGGAAAGTTGGAATCCCCTCCAGATTCGGTGTGTTTCGGGCCAGCATTGCCAAGTATCCAGAGCAGCATTCGCGGATCAGTGGCGCAGTGCAAACATCGGAAGGCACAAGCCATGTGTAGTTTGGGCTGCTAGCATGCTACGCACTACCTAGCTCGCATTGACCACACGACTGTCTGCTCATGAGCATACAATCGACCTAAACTTGAGCTCAAGTTTAGGTTGAAATCTAATCTATCCTTACGTCAGTATCGCTTGTGCTCAACAATGCTTCAGTGCACCATATATGATACTTATTGACGGATGCTGCGAGCACCATACACACTGAGCACGTGTCCAATATGGCTCTTGTCTTCTTGCAGGTGGTAAACACCAAATTTTATGTGTTTGGTGGGCAGTCCCGCTCATATACTAACTACAGATCAAAAGTTTTGTCGCTCTTCCAATCTTGACATGACTTTGTAGGATCAAATCAAATAGTCAATTTGTCACCAGATTTGGATTCCTTGGTAGATTTTGAGTTGATGTGGATTTTGATACTTTGCAGTATATTCGTCATCGCCATACAGCAGGAATACACACCCTGATCATACACACCCTCATCAAAGCGTCCCTGTCTACCTCTAAGCCTCAACTCCCCATAGCTTTGTGCCCAACTTATCCTCATGTGTGCTAGCCTACTTCCCCAAAAATATCAAGAACCTTGTTTTGGTCGACAAACAATCACCACTACAACCCTTCAGGAGTTTTGGCATCATGGCTATCATGCTCTTTGTGGAACATCTCTTCCGCTATGCTGAATCATGTCTCCGAAATTTCCAATTTCAGCGATTGGCCATGTTGGCACCAGCCTAGGCTGTGCTTTGGTTGGCATCAGCAGGCATGGCCTTCCTAACCTTTGTGCATGGGAAAGATCAATGCTCTTGCACTAATCTAGGTGTCTCTTGGCCTTCCGCCACCACGTACGCCACCACAATTGCTGCTGACACCCAAAAACTCTGCGGCAAACCTGCATCTTTTGCTCTGAGGCTTCTGCTTTGAATTCAGCTGCATCTTCAGTGGATACCAAATCACCACGCCAAGCACCTTTCCCAGAGACAGCTCAGCTCGATCCACATCCTTTGAAGGGCAAAACGAGCTCGCTGCTAGGACATTGCGAAGGTGTGCATGATTGCGCATCAAAAGCACAAACACTGTGCAAGTCGGGCGTTGGCTTCGCATGCAGAATGTATGCATTTGAATGTTCACAAATGGGCGAACGCCAATCATCGCCCATTTTCCCAATTACTGTGCGGGATAAATTGCCTGCCTATACTGCATTGTTTCGCGAGCTTGGCACGTGGGAAGGGCGCTTGGCTCTGGCGCAAACCGTCCATGCACCTTCCCATAGTACTGACAGGAGTAAGCTGACAGGTGAGACACCCGCGCGTGGTCCATTTTGATTCCAGGATGCCGCTGCCAGATGGTGGAATTCAGCGAAGCCCGGCCGGAGAGCATGGGGCACATGGGCACTTGGCATCCAAATGTGCACGAGCCATGACAAATCAAGAGCGTGGAGTTTCGATCGGAACGTTTCTTCAAGGGGCTGGCTAGGTGGCTCAAAGAGTCAAAAGTGTGGAGCTAAACACTCCCGGACAACGCGTTGTTACACTCTAGCAATTGATCAACATCAATGCGAGCCCCAGGGCAAACGCCGAGCGCCCTTCCTATGCCTACACGTCGTCACATAACTCCTGCTTGCACCTCAACGGCCCCGCACGCCAAGCAACACAACCACAGCTCTCCCAGCATGCGCGAGCACCACCCACCTGAAAAGAATCCTTCAACACCTTGTCAACACCGCCCCTGCAATAACTTGCCCCAAGTAGAACCTCATCCAGTCCCCTAGTCCCCCGGCGCCCTTCATCTCGCCCATTGCGTTGGGGACACGTGGGCACACCCAGGCACCCCAAGCCACCATGTCCGCACACCATTCACCTTTCACCTGGACATACAGCATCCCCCCACATGCGACTTCCGCATGAGGGGCCCACCACTATCCAATTTGTACTTCAGGGCTGTCAGCCACAGTCCGGCTTATCAGACGTAGCTGCGATTCCGCATCTGCAGCCCTCCTGCATCCCCACAAGTTCGCCCACAGCACCAACGCCCAGCGCCCTCCCAGACAACTGCGAGTCGCTCCCTTGCTGAGGGACCATTGTGGAGTACTGCAGTCCCACACCTTGGAGCACAATGCAACTCAAGACGTGTAATGGCCGAGCAGGAAGGCGATCAGCGCCACCAAGATCAGCTGGATCAATGAGAAGCCATTCTTCAAGTTCATCTGGGGCACACAGATTATCCCCAAGTATTAGTGCCAATCTCAACAACAGCTTAGTGCCAGACTACCCATACAAGTTCAGGAGGATTTCGGCCTTGAGTTGTGTCAATCAACAACCCCTCATCTGCGAATAGCCAGGACAGCATCCTTGAAACTTTCCAAACCGTTGGTGCATGCCATGGACCATTCAGTACATGTGTCAAAATAACACGCATAACTGTGCGTTGGAGGCGTCATCTATATTCTTGCGGATATCATCTGGTTTGTGCAAGCGGCAGGTTCCTTTCTTGCTTAGTACCATGTCCCAAACCCACAATGCAAAACGCTCTTGCAGCATGGCACATGGCCCAGTATCTCCTTTTGGTACGACACATATAGAAGCTTTTCTGGTGCCAGAATAGCAGTCCATGGGTGGCAATGCACTCAGCTGCACACTGACAAGTGTCACTGAAACTCTTAGGCAACTCTTTAGGCAAAGGGCAGCACACTCATCCGCAATACTGCCATGGCCAAGCATTTTTGTGTATTGGCATGAGAAATATTGCAAGCTACTGCCAACACAAGCATGCAAACAGTCATGCCTGGCACATCTGCCGACATCCATGGGCGCCATGCGTTTTCACCATCTTTGAAACGTGCAAGCTATTGGCCGGGTTCCATTCGGATTGTCTAGAAAGCCAGGACTTTCCCAGTGTCCTTTCCCCTTCAGTGCCTGATTGTGCTTGTTCGCACCTGCGCTGCAGAGCTGCTCTGCTGAATGTTGTCAACCTGGTACATGCAAGGCATCCCCTTGCAGTGAGAGACGTAATGAACATAATGTAGCACCACAGGTCATACCATGCACACAACATGCATCGAAAGCTGCTCAGCAGTTTTTTGCATCTGTGCATTCATGCCTGTAGTCACAATTTCTGCACATGCCGATGAATCCAATGGAACAGCCATGCCAATACAATGTGACACTGGTGCAATACCATATAAACACAAACAGTTTTGCACAGCTCCATCTTTACATCTTTGGGATTGTGCATCTTGGCGACCCGGTTCAAGTGTTTTGGCCCCCCTGTGCCAACTTGGATTCTCAGCCCGCTTTCTTCTAAACCTGTAATTACAAACCTCTCAAAGGCATTTGCACCCCATCCTATGGTAATATGTAAATAATAAAGCAATAAACACTAAATAATAAAAGTCCATGTGTCCTGTGCAAATGTTAAATAATAAAAGTCCATTCGGGGGGTGTTGGCTGCCAGTTCTCCACACAACCTGCAGTGGTCATTTCAATGGATGCAAACTTAATGCTCTTCAGAGGTTTCGTTTTAGGGCTTGCCGTACAGAGACTTGTTGGAAGTCAAGGA